TTAAAATTCAAGATTTTTTTATGGATTTCTTTTGTTCGAATTCACTGTGGGTTGATGCGATAGCTAATAGCCTATCATTTGGTTTTGCGTTTTTTTTTTATTTTTTGCAATTTCATTGTTTAAGTGTTTCCTTATGTTTCCACTTTTTCATGAGTCGAGACGAAAAGCAGAAGATGGCTTTTAAGTTTTTGCATAGATTAAAGCATTTGGGCATTCCCCGTTATAATATATTTAATTTATTGCGATAGATTTAAATTAGAACATTGAAATATATAAAAGATTGATATTTATGCTTTTTGATTTGTTTGCCATAAATGGGTTAGGCCTTTTGAGGGGGAATTTTTGGAAAGAACTATATTTGTATTTGAAGGTGTAATGAGTTGATTAAGATTCAAATTTTGTTATGAATCAAAACAAAAAAAAAAAAAAGAATATATTATTCATACCCACCTTATGTTCTCTTCATTTATTTAATAATATTTTTTCCTCTTTTAGGTAAGTCTCGTCGGGCAATAGTTTTTTTTATGAATATGTAAGGAATGTTCTGGTAAGTAGTATACCTCTGACTATTTCAAATTCGATACTTAGAAGACACCTGAAACAATATGCTGGTTATTGAACAATTCTTGAAAACACATATACAGGGCGAGATAAAAAAAACTGCAACAAAGTCAATAATTTTTATACCCTCAGCCATATGGCTACGGAGGGTATATACAATTTGATACGGTCAAAACGTGCCTAATTGAAATAACGGTGTTAGACCCTGATCTCTATGGACCAAATCCTTTTCAGAACATTTGGAGTCGATCTAGCGATGTCCGTCAGTCCGCCTGTCTGTCTGGCTGGTTGGTGCGCACGAAACGAAACTCTCGAAGGGAGTATCCGATTTCGTCCAAATTGGGTATATTGTAATATTTTTGTCAAACTTAGATCGAGTTCGGAGATGGACAATATCGGTCCACTCCTTCTGGTACCCCCCACAAAAGGTCGAAATTTTCCAAAAATATATTTTCTGCACAGGAAGAGAAAAGATAATCCGATTTTGCTCTTACTTTGCAAACACTAATATTTGCGTCAGTGCTAGGTCAGGTGGGAAATGGACAATATCGGTCCACTCCATTATTACAACTCTGATTGTCTTCAAATTCCACACATCCCAATACTTATGTTAACCCAAGGCCTGGTCTTAAGATGGAATATATTGGTCCACTCCTTCTGGTACCTCCCCCACAAATGGTCGAAATTTAAAAAATATATTTTTTTTCTGCAAATAAAGAGAAACGATAATCCAATTTTGCCCCAAATTTGCAAATTCTAATATTTGCAACAGTGCTACGTCAGATGTGAAAATGGACAATATCGGTTCGCAGCATCAAGTACCTCCCCCAAAAAGGGTCAACATTTTGAATAATTACAACGCTTATAAAATGTGATGTAAGAGTCCGATTGTCTTCAACAACTCATGCTTCAGATGAAGCATGAAAATAAAACCAACAGTGAACTCAATATCAAATTTTAGGATACAAGCTCCATTCCGTCAGCGAATACTAAATTTAGTAACATTTTTCCAAACAAATCTACATCTCTCCATTCTAGGCACCAACAGGGCTCCAAAATTAGTAACATTTAGTACTTTTTGAACAATCATTGTACGCACTTGTCAAACCACCAACAGAGATCCCAAAATAAAATTTCAGGATTCAAACTCCGTGCATTGACTCAATGAAAAATCTAGTAAAATTTGGTACTTTTTGAACAAAAATTTTGAACACATTTCCAAAAGAATTTCCATATCTCAACTTTAGCTATCAACAGTCGTTTTAATTTTCCCCATTTCCAAATTTGGTACTGTTTGGTACACATATTCAAAGTCAGGACCTTCTTTTATCCACAGAAACCACCAGTGATATTCCTATCAAATTTTAGAATTTCAGCTTTATTCCTTCAGCCAATACCAAATTTAGTACATTTGAATACTTTTTGTACAATTATAGTACACATTTTCAAAACAACCTCCATGTGTTAACCACCTCAATATAAAATTTCGGGATTCGACCTCTATCTCTTCACCCAATACCAAATTTAGTACCCATTGGTACTTTTCGAAAACTTATAGCACACATTTCCAAAATCGCCTCCATGTCTTTACCATAGACGCCAGCCGTGACATCTATATGAAATTTAAGCATTTCAGCTCTATTCCTTCAGCCAATACCAAATTTTGTACATTTTAGTACTTTTTCGTACAATTATAGTACACATTTTCAAAATAAAAGTCCACATCTCAATCTCAGATACCAGTATAAAATTTCAGGATTCGAGCTCTATTCCTTCACCCAATAGCAAATTTAGTACCCATTGGTACTTTTCGTAAAATTTTAGTACACATTTGCAAAATTGTCTCCATTTCTTAACCACAGACGCCAGCAGTGATATCTATATGAAATTTCAGGATTTCAGCTCTATTCCTTTACCCAATACCAAATTTAGTACTACGTAGTATTTTTCGTACAATTATAGTACACACAATTGAGCTCTATTCTTTCACCTAATACCAAATTTAGTACTCATTGGTACTTTTCGAAAAATTATAGTACACATTTCCAAAATCGCCTCCATACCTTAATTTCAGGATTTCAGCTCTATTTCTTCACCCAATACCAAATTTAGTACTACTTAGTATTTGCCCACAATTATAACACACATTTCCAGAAACCACTTTCATATCTCAATTCCAGATACGACCAGAGACTTTAAATTAAAATCTCTTGAACAACGACCCTAATACCAAATTTCAGATTTCAATCAACATCTGTACAATTTAGTACCTTTCTTACGCTTACTGTACGAATTTACAACCCCAACTCTTTATCTAAACCTTAACAATCTGCAGTGACCAGCTCATTTCGTTCACCCAAATTTAGTACAGTTCTAGCTTTAGCCGTTTCGCCTAAGCGTTGACGGCCAAAACGTACCTCATCGAAATAACGGTTTTAGACCCTAAGTCTCCTTGGATCAAATCCGTTTTAGGACATTTGGAGTCGATCTATAGGTGTCCGTTTGTCTGGCTGGCTGGTGCGCTCGATAACTCTCGAAGTGAGTATCCCATTTGGTCCAAACTTAGTACATCGTAATATTATTTTCAAGCATAGATCGAGTTCGGAGTTGGGTAACATCGTTCCACTTCCTCTGGTATCTTCTGGTACAAAAGTTCAAAATAATCCAAGAAATGGACAATATTTGCCCCTCTCCATTAAGTACCCTCCCACAAAGCCTCAACATTTTGAATAATTATAAATCGGATAAAATATGAAAAAAAGGGTTCGATTGTCTTCAAATTTTCACATCCATACAAATATCTGGTGTGAATATGGAATATATCGGTCCACTTTTTCTGGTATCTCCCCCATAATGGGTCAACATTTTGAAAAATTCCCTTGAAATTTCACACATCTCAATATTTCTACCAAAACAAAAGATGAAATATAAAGAATTACTACTTTTGGTACCTCCCCTACAAAGGTTCTAAAATTGTATATTTACTAAAATGCGAACCAATTATTTGATTACTTTTAAAATTTAGTGCAATTCTTACACTAAGAACGCATTTCCAGAACCATCTCCTTATATCAACTATATTTCCATATCTCAAATCTGGTGATATAATCGTCAGAATAATGAAGATTATACCTAAAACATTTGCGGGCATAAACCCCATTACGGGGTAGGTATTGTTAACCTGACTACAATACCTTTTTTTTGTGGGGGAAAACTTATGGGAATGCTTACCCAACAAGTGATCATTTGATGGGGTTGTTTGAACCGGTTCCGGAGCAATACAAGAAAATTGGTATTTTTGTACCGAAAGTTTTTGGGGTATTAAGATATTCGCCGATATATGCCTTTCCAAAATGTTTTCAAATTTGCTGATACATCTTATAGTTTTTGGATAAAAAACCCTTATTTTAAATCCGAACTTTCGGGACGAATAACCGGATATTTCCTCCACGAAAAAATACTTTGCGTAATAATATCTACTGTGATAAAAATTTCAATTTTTCATTATATCAAAATTTCAGGTCAATCCGAGCACAGTCTGTAAACTCAAGAACTCATAGGCATTATGTCTGTTTTGGAGGCGGAAATAATCCTCAAATTATTATGGGGGTTATAAAAAAAAGAAGCGGCCATAATCCCCATAATTGCAATGTGTGTTATGTCCACGGGGATTATGTCCGGGACCCTGAAATATTATTCTAAATTTCAGGATTTTAGCTCATTCTCTTCACATTTTGATATTATGCTAAAGTTGAATCAGTCAGTTACTCAATGATATATTTGCAGAGATCGTTTATGCATTACAAAAATTTGTTCGAAGCTTTCCAGAGAACATCAATTACTAAAACAATGCAACTTTTTATACCCAAGATAAGGGTATAGAGGGAGGGTATAACAAGGAAGGATAGGTGTTCGATGGTAAGAAGAAGGTTTTTTTTTTTGTTTTTTTTTTGTTTTTTTTTTTTTTTTTTTTTTGGGATGGGGGAGGTCTTTCTTTAAATTTGTAGATTCTGAAGGCCTTTTATATAAATTACAAAAAGTTCGCACTATCAATCTTCCTTGAGGTGTTTTCAAAGGTGTGCTTTATACAGATAATGGCCATAATAGAGTGAAGAAGAAAGCTCCTTAAGTGGATTTTCCGATGAATCCTTATCTCGAATAAAAAAAGTCCTCTTAAAGTATGCTCTTCTAGACAAGACAAAAGGGTATAGTAGATGTCTCCCTAAAATATGCCAACCAATTAAATAGGTTGATATTTTATGGGTTAGGTTTACTCCAAATTTGGACTCCTGCAAACTATTTTCTGAATATTTTTTTTTTTTTCAAAATAAAAATTAATAAATAAAATCGTTTGTAATTTTCGCTAAATTATTTACATAAAATGTATTTCGTATATTTAAAACAGGAATAACAATGAAAAAAAAAAAAACGATTCAAATAAAAAACAAAAAAAGTAACAACAAAGGAACTAAATAACCTAAAATCAAAGCAACAACTCAAAATTTGCCTAGAGCCTATTTAGTGATAGGAGGCAAATATTGGCTGATGGCGGATTTTTCCGAAGAGCTGGGGGCAATGGGTTGATAGTTGTAGGCACCATCGGGAGTAAGGCCATCCAAGGCACCAACAACGGAAGTGATGGGAGCAACACCTTCATCGGAGAATTCGTTGGTGCCACCCAATTTGTCGTATTCATCTAAAGAGGGGAGAAGATTTTCGATTAAAATTTGAAAAGGAAATTCTTGGGAGAGGAAATAAAAACTTACTTTGAATTTCTCTTTGGGCAGCCTCAGCCTCTTCGGGGGTCTTGTATTTAATGAAGAATACCTCAGGTTTGCTGGCCTCTGTGGGTGCTGGTGTGGCAATATCGCCGGCATTCAATTCATTATCCTTCTTGCTCAATACATAAATGACAGTCTTCTCCTCTTGTGGAGCATATTCGGCCGAGTATTTGACATTGGCATTATCCGAGCCAGGAGCCTTAATGAAGACAACGCGATAGGTTTTTTGTGGGCGGCCCAAAACCAAATGTTTCTGTTTGGGTTGGTTTTCACTGTCATCGGGTGCCGAGACCAAATAGAATTGTTTGCGCACCACAGGAGCTGGGGTTGTGCTGGCGGGTGGCAAATATTTGTCACCACCCTGATATCCGCTGCTGGCAATGGGGGCACTGGGCTGGGGTTGATACACCACGGGAGCAGGTTGTTGGACTTGTTGATAGCCATAACCACCGAATTGTGGGGCAGCTGAGGCCACGGCCACCAGGCTGAGGGCAACTAAAGCAAAGGTTCTCATTGTAATTTTTTCAGTTTTTTTTTTTAATTTCTGTTTTTTTTTTCTTTTCTTCGTTTCTTCGTTTTTTCAACTTCTTAACACACTTCTTTGTCTGAATGTCTGTATTCCTGAACTGTTTCGGTTGCACTGTGTCTTCTGCCAGTGGCTGCATAAGTATTTATTTGAATGCGAAATTTTTTTCACCATCCAACTAATTTTAATGCAAATCTAGATCGGTTTATGTTCGGCCATATGTTTTTTTTTCTAATTCGAATTCTATTGTGACGGCATTGTTTTGGTTTGACAATTTTTTTTTTGTTTTTGAGTCATTTGTGTATTTTTGTTGTTGTCGCCGTGCGGCCTGAGTCACATCATTTGAATATAACTCAATTGTGGCTAAGGGTGAGAGCTGAGCTTAACTCAAAATTTGTGACCATTTTTGGTTTGGCTTTTTTAGAAGGGGTTAATAAAGTTGGAGCTTTAATATTTTTTTTTTTTTTTGCATAAAAATCTGACGAAAGATCTGCCAACGATTTTGAAATGTCATTAAACTTTAATCTCTTTAACGAAAATTTGTGATATATGCCGCTGATCGTGATTAGTTGTCACGCTTGTCCACAAATCATTTGTTTGGAATTTTTGTGTTTGCGCCCAGAGACAATGACAAATATTATAAAAATAAAACAAAATATTATAATTATATATTTTAATTTTTATGTTTCCAAAAAAAAAAAAAAAAATCCCGTCCGCTAAATATTTCCGGATATGATACATTGAGATGTTTGGATACCACCCAAACACAGGCCAGTCGTTAATGTGTCATCTAGTTATACATTCCTCTGTACGTACTTATAGCATGGGAATTTAAGTTCTTGACCACTTGAGGGCCCCCTCCTCTAAAAGGATTTGAAAAGGGCATTTCTGCCTACACTCTACAACACATAAAATAATTACAGAAAAAAATCCAGCAGATTATGAAATTAGAAATAACAAGAAAAAAGGCTGTATGTTCGGCCGGGCCTAACTTGGAATTCCCTCCACCACTTGCAACTAATTTGGAAATTTTCAAAAAAAGGAAAAATAAATAAACAAATTTAAATAAAATATAAATTAAATAAGAACTATTAAAAGTTCTGTTAAAAGTTTAAAAATACCGAATATAGTCGTTGTATTGGGGTCTAACGTGGACCTGCATAGGCAACTTTGTCATAGGCCATTACAAAATACGGCATGTATGTGGGGGTTATACAAAGACCTGGACCTGCATAGACAATTTTCTGTCACAGGCTGTAGTACCCATTAGGAACTTCGAATAAAAAATTTGAAACAATAGCGTTAAATATTGTACCAAAAATTGTCCAAATAATTTTTTAAAAATGTTGACCCTTTGTGGGGAAGGTACTTGATAGAGTGGGCCGGTATTGTCCATTTTCGCACTTGAATTATCACTGAGGCAAATATTAAGATTCGCAAAGTTAGAGCCAATTCCTTCTCTTTCTATGTAATAAAATATTTTTTGTGAAAATTTCGACTTTTTGTGGGGTAGTTACCGGTAAAAGTGCACCGATATCGCCCATCTGAGTCTTTGAAAAAAATTAAATTTGTGTATTAAATATGTGCTATAGAAAAATATTACGAACTTTTGTTTACCTTTTATTTTCGGCAAATTAAGCACTTTTTTTAAATTTGCTTCGATTTTTTTATTTTCACTGTCAAATAGTCAGTTTGGGTTGTGAAAAATTCCAAGTGGATTTGAATATCGAGTTTTTAAAGACATATTCTTTAAAATTATTTTTAAAGACATACTTTATGTGAGTTTATGAAAAATTATCCTACAAAGCATCGCTTTACAAAGATGATGTCTAAGACAAAAAATGTTCTGCATCCAATTTATCTATAAGTCACCAAAGAGAAGAAGTTTCTATCTATATCTATAAAAGAGAAGAATGTTTGTATGTTTGTTTGTAATTTATGGACTCGAAAACAGCTGAACAGATTTTCCTAAAAATTTCCAAGTATACTACAACATCGCCTGAAAGTAACATAGGCTATATAAAATTTTGAATTTCCACTTGAAACTGGAGATATGGCATCCGAATCGGAGGTACCTCCAAAAATTTAGATTTTATATGCACATATCTATTGACAGATTGCAGACATAGTCTTCCAAATTTGGAATGCATAACGGAATTTGGAGCAAAAATAAATTTGCCAAATTATATTGAAATCGGTTCAGATTTGGATAAGCTCCCATATATATTTTCGGCCGATTTCATATATTTGATGCATTTAACACGTTGATGCTGTGATGGAATTTGTCTAAAAAAAAAAAATACTTGCCAAATTATATTGGAATCGGTTCAGATTTGGATATAGTTCCCATATACATAATTTCGACCGATTCCGTTTATTTGATACACCAAACACGATATATATGTTCTATTTTAATGAAATTTAGAATGAGGGACGGGATTTGATAAGAAAATAAATTTGCAAATTATATTGAAATCGTTTCAGATTTGGATATAGCTCCCAAATATATAATTTCCACCGATTTCGTTTATTTGATGCACCAAACACGATACGTATGTTCGATTCCAATGAAATTATGAATGTGTGACTAAATTTGGTACAAAAATAAGTTTGTCAAATTATATTCAAATCGTTTCAGATTTGGATATAACTCCCATATTTATTTTCGGCCGATTTCACATATTTGATGCACCAAATACTGTATGTACCTCCAATTTCAATGAAATATGCAGGGTGTGACGGAATTTGGTGTAAAAGTAAATTTACTTTAATTATATTGAAATCAGTTCAGATTGGGATATGAATGGTATTAGGCTAACAGTAAAAAACTATACAACAATTTAAATGAGGATACTATTATTACGGGAATGTGTGTTGCTACCTCGAATTCTCTAATTGCACTCAACTTCAAAAGATTATAGCTTCCTGTACGCTTGGCATTTGTTATAAAATTATTAAATCCAAAGGACAAACCTCTAGTGTATGCGGACTAAATGTGGCATGTTCCTACTTTTCTCCCGGTCAGCTGGTTCTGGCATGTTCACCCGTTGGAAGACAGAGCTATTTGTTTGTTTACGCATACAAGTATTACAATAATAACATTTTTTATAGTATTTGAATTTATAAAATTTTGAAGGCATATAAAATCAAAAGGTGTAGCGAAGCGCACCGGGTTGAGCTAGTTTCCCTTATATATCAGGACAATATTTGCAACAATTACTTATACAACTTATCAAAAAACAAGTAAGCAAAGGCTATAGTAGTGCGGGGCCGACCATGTGATAACCTACACTACCAAATGTTAGAAGCCACCTTGTGTCCAAATCCATTTTGGAAGATTTCGCTTTTGAAATTTTGTCACGAAGCACTGCCCAGATATTAGCCTTAGCATTTTGACCAAGGACATTTGCCCAATATTTACGCACTCCGCCGTGCTGCTAGACTTTTTCCCTGTCCTTAACTCTCTTCTCATGCAATTGGTTTCAATTTCAATTAATTTGAACCCCTAATTATTTTGTGATCATCTCCAAATGCAAGAGGCCCCTCTATATCTCAAAATTTAAACTCATCTATATGATTTGCTTGTCTACGATATTTGGCTATATTCGTCAACGAAATCAGCAAAAAAAGCCAGAAGTTCGCCTTTTGTGTACTTCGGATATCGCCTGTAAGTAATGTTGATACTTTTTCACACAAATGTAGTGGTCCATTCTACCCGCTGTCCTAAACTCTAACTTCATGCGAGATTTCATGTTCTTTAGTTTCTATTTGTGACCTTTATAGCGGCTGCAAAACCAGGAACATTTTTAGTTGTTGGTCTATTTCAACCCCCAAATATATTGCGGAAATCTTTGAAAACAATAGGCCTAGTCCTTCTGAGCCTAACCCTTCTGAAAATTTTCGTGGGGATCGGACGAAAATTGCAATCTGCATATAATAACACCAAACTGTGTTGTAAAAATAAAAAAATATTACAAAATATACACTTCAATATTTTCAGTCAAATTGAAAAAAATCGCATGCGATTAAAAATATGAAAAAATAAAAAAAAAAAAAAAAAACGTCACAAAATACTACAAAATCTATATTAACATCATTATTGGCATGTTTTTATGCGATTTGTTTAGATTTTATACTTTTATGCCAAGACAAAATTTATCAAAATCGGTCCAGCCATTCTCAAGATATAAACATTCTAGCTGTCATCCCCTTCCTTTGTATATATTTCGCTATATATATCCGATATATTTACTATCGGCATCTACGTAACGGTCAGAATTGACCTATTCGTCTGTGATTTCGCTGGGATTAAAAATATTCGCGATTTAATCGAAAATTTTACTTTTATTTAACACAAATGTTATGATCTATTTCACCCACTAAATATTACCCGATGACCATCAAAATTGGAAGACTTCTGCCCAGCCCGAAGCTCTAGCCCCATGCTAACTTCGGCGTCTGTAGCAGCGACCGGTAGAGCAACTGCAAAAGCAGGAAATTTTCCATTTCTACCCTTAAATATTATGCAATCATCTCCAAAAGCAATAGGGTTCCATTCTGACCCTATCCCCACCTCCATTTTCAATTTCGTGATGATCGGGCCATAATTGCGCCCTGTAGAGTGATTACAAATTAACATGGACAGACGGATAGACGGACATACATAGCTAGATTGACTCAGCTGGGCGAGATAGGAAGATACATATATACTTTCTTATGTGGGAAATCAGTATTTCGAGGTGTTACATAATTTTGGCCTCATCAAACTTATAATACTCCAACACATAGTGTTGTAGGGTATAAAAAGACCAAAAGACTTGAGCGTTAAAATGTTCGACTAATTTCTCGTATTTTTATTTCAAATATTGCCAAAGACATATACCTAAAATGCAAAAATTTCGAGGAATCTAAATCCGAAAATTCCCAAAGTTGTTGAAAAAGGGCTAACTTACGCGGCTCTATTTTTATTACTTTGCGATGAAAACTTTCAAAACGCCGATATA